TATGAAGAAATGACTGACACCTGATTCTTAAAGAAATGGAGCAACGTTATTGCTAAGTGATGAATTTTATGTGATGCTACTTAAGAAAGCTATCATTTTCAGAGTATCAGTGACTGATGCCTGATGTGTTGTTTGTTCCTCTTATGAATCATTTTGGTTATAAGATAGGATTTTTCTGCTAAATGCAAAGAGTATCATGTAACTGTTCAAGAGCCTTGTTCTCCTTGTGACCCGAAGGCATGTCAGTAGGAGGTATTCAGCGCAGTGGGTGTTCTCATTACCACTTGACATTTTGCTGTTTGGTTTTCTGCCTGTTGCTATTTAATGGTATCAATTCTTTCTTTGCCAGTCCCAGAAGCCATTTAGCAAGCAATGTACTATTAGTGCTACTTAACAATGTCAACAGAGTCACTAGGAAAAGAGTTTAATTTTCAAACAGTGTGCTTCAGCATTCCCCCTTGCCATCTGCTCCTGTCATATCCCTCACTGTTTCCCAGTTAACCCTTTGCCCTGGCCTCCTTGCCCAGTGCTCTTGGAGAGGGTGGCAGAGGCTCTGCACGGCTTTGTCTGAACTATAAATACCCTCTGAGGCTAAAACAGACTGCAGGTCACTGTAATGGCAGTGACATGGGTGAAAGTTTTGGATTATGCAAATTGGCGTATATTTGCTTTGTAGAGGCATGGGCAGAAAAATAGAGCAGTCACAGAGTGCACTGCAGGCTGTCTGAACTTAGCCTGCTGTTAATCAACTCCCATTAGTGTTGAGTGTGAAGTTCTCACAGTCTTTAATGTAATATCTCAGATAAGACTGCAGAAGGAAGATACTGTACCTTTTGGGAGAACAAAGACATCAAGACTGAGGATGAGATTCATCTCACTGAAGTTAATCTACCAAAATGATAGATTGCAGTTGGTACTAATCATCCATGCTTCTCTCTCTCCCGTGGAGAGATGGCATATCTCCCAAGGATGATTTCGTGGCTCTAATCACTGGGTAACCCTGACTGTTAAGTGGCACTAATAGGCCAGACTGAGAAGGATGCTCAGCTTCAGATGAGCTCAGGTGGAGGCTGGACAAGTTCATGGTAGCAAAATTCTTTGCAAGTTATTAAATCCATAGCAGTAGTATCTGGCTTATGAACCTCCTAAGCTGAAAACAGTTGGAGGCTGTAAGTTCTTAAGGGGAAGTATCAGACATGGTTGTCCTGTTGTGCTGTTCTCTTTCCTAAGCATCTATTTATGGCCACTGTTCGAGCTAACACACGAGGGAGATGGACTTTCTGTCTGACACCATATGGCCATTCCTGTGCTCTTATATGAGGCCATTTTAGCAGTGAGAATCCACATTTTAGTAAGAGATGATTTGTCCAAATGGGAAATTGGCGGTAAGGTTTATTTCCAGATCTTTAGTGAAGTGCTACTGACCTACAAACAAAAAAACTGGAAGTCAGTTTTACAGAAAGAGCCTGTGCCATGTGCTGAATGTCAGTGCTTTTTATCAGGTCACCTCAAGGTTTTCGGAGATTCAGATGAGCTGTTTCACCACGTGTTCCCCTCAGATGGTGCAGACAGCTTGTTTGAGCCTTAGACAGTACAAGGAGATTCATATTCAACATAAATTACAGTGTACTGTGTAGCTGTGCTGCTACATGAATGCTCCCTGCCTTTGTGACAGCACCAGCTGGACTAACAGGATGGAAGCTTGTCATTTCAAGTTACTCATTGAGAGCACAGAATGTGTGGCCCCAAAAATGGGTGTCACTCACCAGAACAGTGTTCATGACCTCCCACTGTCTTGGGCACATGCAGATATGTGTGTACCTTTGTATTTTGGATGATTGTTCCAGTTGAAAGATTTTGCAGACTTGACCATCCTAAATGCTGATACCCTTAAAATGGTTTGCTAAGGAGGCAAGTACCTCTGATTGAGCATTTTGCTGCCAGTATAGTAAATGTATGGCCATCATTTGCTGCAAAGATCTTCAGAGTCTCCATAACTGTTAAGTAGCATCATCGCTGCATAAATATACTTCTGTTTGAAGTCAGAATTGCCTTTTATGGCAATCTCTACATAAAAAGAAATTTTGATTAAAACAAAATGTTTTCCTTATCAAATCCCAACGTAAAAAAGCCTGATGGAATTGGATTCAAAACATCAAGCTGGGCTTTGGAAATGGAAGGTCTTGTTCTCTTTAAAGGACACTGTGTCAAAACTGACAGGACAAAACCTTTGATGCAGGGAGAATGTATCAAACTACTTTTGCAATTTCCTGCTTGAATTCTTGTGAACTGCTTTTGTCTAATCATATTTGATATCAAAGATAATTTTATTTAATGTGGATTAGGTAGTATGACATATCCACTGTTTCATCATTCTCTGTTTAATTTTGAATGTGACATAATATTTTCTAGTACAGATGAAATTTGTTCAGTAGTCAGCTTTGAAAAAGAGCCTGTCTTTTATATCTCTGTTATGCATGGCAAACGAAAAAAATTACTTCATTCTCAAAATTCTCCATTTTTTTTTACTGTAATCTGTAGATTACAGCCAACACTGTGGAAAGATGGTTTATCATCACATCCTGTCCTGTTCAGTGGCCTCCATAGCATAGCTGCACACAGCCAGAAGGAATGTAGTTTGGTACCAAAGGGAGAGGTTACTGGGGGAGTCAAAATGTGACGCAGAAGCTGAAGGACAGGGTTTTAAAAGAGATCGATTTTTCACCCCAGTGAGTATTGGGCATGACAGTTTAGGGCTGAGGATACAGCAGCCTTCTCTGATGTGGCTGAATGAAGGCAAAGCTTGTTCCTCTGTTACTCATAGGCTGTGGTGCCTTCAGCAGTAGTGTTGAAGTTGTAGTAGAAGAGAACCCTGTTGAGAAAAGTGAAGAATAATACCAAAACCCCAACAGCACTAACAAATAGGGTGTAAAACAGGAGACTGTAATTGTGTCTAAAGGTTGGAAGGTGACAGCAGCAGTGTGGAAACCATTGTGAGGAAGGAAAGGTTGGTTGGTGTTGCAGTGAGGATGTTTTTTAAGGACAATATTCTCAGACTTTTTTTTCAGCTTTCCCTGAAGCCCTGGACTCCTACCAAATCTGAAAGGAAGGAGAATGTAGGTAGGATGCACTGATATGTAGTTTTTACTCATTGCTCGATATCAAACCACTTGTCAGTATGATGGAATTTTTTCCTTCTGGTCAAGCTGGCAGAGAGATGTATGCGTACAGCTCTGTTTCTTTCTTTTTAATCCAGTAAAGCCATGGCTTTGGCCTACCTACCTACTACAGTCCTCCAGGACTTTAGTTATGCAGTAAAGAAGAGACTTGGGGCTATAGCATACCCACACTAGCTTATCTCTTTCTACAGTACATAACAGTTGCAGTTCCTGTGGTTGCTAAGCAGATCTTTGGCTTTTTACAGGATATTCAGAAGTGTGTGTCCTCAGCATTTACAGATATGTGAAGTACATGTTCTGTAGCTTTCTCTGAAGCAATGTCCTATACTTACATGAGACTGTAGAGCCTGCACTCAGTGAGCCAGGGGAGACTCTTCCAGCTCTGCGTTCCCAAACATACAAGGGACAAGGATAAAAGAAAAAGCTTTTGTGTGAATCTTTTTTAGTTGTATATGGTCTTAGTTCTGCAGCATTATCCTTCCCTTGCCTGAATGAGGGACCCATTCATTTCACAGGATCACAGAGTATGCTGAATTGGAAGGGACCCACAAGGACCATCGAGTCCAACCCTTAACCCTGCAGAGGACCTTCCCCAAGAGTCACACCATGTGCCTGAGGGTATCGTCCAAAACCTCTGTCAGGCTTGGTGCTGTGACCACTTCCCTGGTGAGCCTGTTCCAGTGCCCAACCACCCTCTGGGTGAAGAACCTTTTTCTAATATCCTGCCTAAACCTCTGCTAACACAACTTCAGCCCATTCCCTTGGGTCCTGTCACTGGTCAGCACAGAGAAGAGATCAGTGCTTGCCCCTCCTCTACTCCTCATGAAGAAATTGTGGACTACAATGAGGTCTCCCCTCAGCCTCCTCCACGCTGAACAGACCAAGTGCCCTCAGCTGCTGCTCATGCAGCTTCCCCTCAAGGCCTTTCATCATTTGTAGAAGTAAAATAGTTTTTGAATCAGGAAGAATATGTGTCCTGATCTAGGATAAAGTTGGGAAGACAATTAGAACATGTGTAAGGACAAGGTTAAACAATTTCTTCTTCCTTTAGCTTTTCCATATTGTATTGAATAACAGCTGTCTTACCGAGAACATTTTCTAGTACCGCTGAGAAACCACTAAGAGCACCAAAAAAATTTTGTCCTTCCCAGTAGAAGTCTGGGGTGGGATAATTGCTAGAAATCTGTCACTTACTTCTTTACAATAGAGCCTTTCAAAATCCAGTTTGAAGTTTCCCATTATATAGATTTATAAATCCTGGATTGTTGCAGTGGTGTGTTCTGCAGGTGAAGTTAGTGCACTGAGTACACTCCACCTGTTTTACAGTAAGAACTTTTTGCATGATCTCTACATAAACCAAGGGTTTGCTTCTGACTAATACATAAAAGGAGAACGAATTCTCTGCATCAGATCCTTACTGTGCTTGCACAATGTCTTGCAGTGTTATGATACCATTGCTGGTAGTCACAATCATATCGTTATAAACTTAGATTCTGGTATGTGAGTACTTTGCATATAGATGTACTTCTTTCAAAATACATATGATTACTTAGTTTGAATTGAAGCCTGCATGCTAGCTCTTATATATATTGCATGTAATATACGTAGGTTTTCTGCAATAATATTGACTCTGACAGAAATGGGAGAGACACTGTACAGTGTGTGTGTGTGTCTGTGGTATTCCTGACAGGTAAGCACCACGTACATGAAATCTCAGTGATTTTGCAGGTTAGCTAACGGTTAGTTTTTTGTTATTACTTTGAGACAATACAAAAGCACTTTTTAGCCCACAGTCTGATTTTGCCATATCTTTCTTCACAGCTTCCTGTTATGGGAGGAGCCTTTATGGACTCACCCAACGAGGACTTTAGTACAGAGTACTCCTTGTTTAACTCATCAGCCAACGTCCATGCAGCTTCGTCCATGCAGAATCCACCAGAAGAGACATCCCGTTCTTCAAATGATGCCATATTGTTATGGATTGCAATAATAGCAACAATTGGAAATATTGTGGTTGTGGGAGTGGTGTATGCCTTCACCTTCTAGGATGACTGTCACTATAAGCACTGGAAGAGAGGAAAACTTCAACAGTATTTGTCATGTGTATGTATGTATGTATGTGTGTATATATACATGTATATCAATATAAATACACATAGGTAGGGACTTTGTTGATTAGGTGCTGCCACGGTTATGGAAATGAAATGCAAGTTAATCATGTTAAATCTTCATGGCAGAAAGTTTGGATGCAAGTTGTATGGAAGTGAGAGCTCTAACTGAAGAGCCAATATCAGTTTTGTATAGAAATGTAATAAAAGAGAGATCAACTTGGGTGTAGTAAATACAGAGAAGGTGATATTTATTTAGAAAGTGCTTATTTTCTACTGTAGATTTTTCTAGCAGCTCTTCTACTGTTTGTCAGCTCTTTCTTTGTGTATTTTTTTACTGTGGTATAATGTTGTATGGAATTGTTCCATGTCATGTTTTCTGGACATCTTAGTTTTCTAGATGGATTAAATGCTTGGCATTGGCTTGGTTCTGATGAAGTCCAGGTTCATCATGTGTGAGTCTTCAGCATGTGCATATGCTCCTAGGCTGTGTTGAAAATCATGGATCTTAGAGCTCTGACAGGCAGAGGCAGCTATCTAGGACTTGCCTTCCAGTACCAGTTACTAGAGCTGATAATTGATGAAATGATGCTGAACCTGTCTGTTTGGGAGAAGGCACAGCTATTGCTGCTCTGCAGACCCTCCCTATTCCAGGGGAGGAAATGATAAACAGAGCAGCAGCACAAGCTCCCATTTCTGTCTAGGGGTACTGAATTGCTGTGGTTTGTATATCTGTCCCTTCCAGGAAACAAAGGCTTAATGCCATGCTTTTCATCTCATTTCAGTGTAGTCCAGATTTCTTACAGCAGCTCTATACTTTCATAAGGTTATTAATCTAATGAAAGAATGTGGAAAAACTGATGGTTATGAGTAAGATAAAATTGAAAGAAAGATTGGACACTTATGTACTCACAAGGGAATGAATACATCAATCAGATGTGTCATGGGGTAGAAACAACACAAAAAAGGTTATAAGTGACAGATATGCAAGTGCTTTTATTTCAGTATTAATATATCTCTGGGTTCTGGTGAGGATTCTGGAAATGATTTTTATATAGCCTGCTGTAGGTAACGACTCTGATTATTTGGATTTGTTCTATTGAGGGAAAACATTTTCATTGCGTTGTTCCTATAGGCAGTTCCTTTTCAAGAGCTGTATCTTTTCAAAACAAACTGTAGCCTTATTTGCTTGAGAAATATAAAATCTTGAGGAAAAGAAACAAAATCAGCTCTATTGAAAATCTCCCTCCTCCCCCTTAAAAATTAAACATAAATATATAAAATGATGCTTTGAGAGTAGCAGACAAATTCTTCTTCTATGTCTGCATGTACTGTCTAGGTTTTCTGTCTCATATAGCTACTACCCTGATTCCAGAATGCCTTGTCTTCAGGCACAGAGACTATTTTTGACACTAGCCTGCCACTGAGCTTGAGGCTGGACTAAGAGCTGCTGAATGTATAGAGAGGTTTGGATTTTCTTCTTTTCTCTTTAAACCCATTTTCCTGCAGGGCTGGTGGACAGTTACTTGAATCAAAGCAGCATGCCCCAAATCAGTATTTATAACCACTCAGTAGTCACTGTGTAGTTGCAAACAGAGATAGCAGTGGGGAGAAAAGAAACTAAGTTATTTTGAGACTGAGAAAAACAATGACAAGCTTCTCTGCGTGTTGTTATTTTCCTCTTTGGAGGCAGGATTTTGTGAAAATGGTTGAGGACAGACAAAACCTGTGCTGGGGTAAAGTTTGAGAAGCCCAGTTCTAGAAAATCAGAGGGAAATAAAGCAAATTCTGTCTAACAAAATAGCTTTAGTTTTAAGAATTACAGAAAAATTATGTTTTCCACAGTGCTAAAATAGCTATTGATTCCTTCATAGGCAGAGGAAAGTGAAAAACAGGGGAACTGCATAAATAGTGTACTTTGCCTGTTCTTACACCCCTCCTTGCTGAACAGAAAGAAAGCTGTTAAATGAGGCTGGAAAGCTGCAGAGAAGTTCCCGGTGCAGAATCAAGCAGGACGAGGTCTAGTGTATGAACATGTAGGACCCATGAAAATATTGCTTAATGTACTGTCCTGTCCCCAACCATTTTCTAATATTCTGTTGCCTTTGTAATTGTATCAATTACTCATCAACTTCCTTCAGTGTTTTTGTAGGCTCTCTACTTAAGCCTGCAAGCATTGTTTTTGCATAAAGAGCAAAACATTTCCACCATGATTAAAACCAGTTTGACACTATGGTACTTGCCCAGTGGGATTATTCTGCTGCCTAATGAATTTTCCAGTGGAGTGCTTTGTTTAAATTTCCTGGAATATTAATCTTAATGCAATTAGCAATGTTTGCATCTCTTTCCCAGAGCTCTGAACTAAACTCTTCAACCATGAAGAAAAGCATCAGAATGGGAAGAGCAAAGAACAACCACTCTGCTAATGAAACTGAGTGACACTTTTGTGTTGTTTTTCCCAAAGAAAATGCCCTACTTTCATATGAAATTGATAGTAATAGTAGGAGCGTTAGAAAACAATGAGTTTCGCCTCCTGAATTCAGATCATCGTCATACATATTTTCGTCATTAGAGACTGAGTTGTCAAGAAGGGCCAGACAGAACTTTAATTAAAGTAATTGACTTGACAGGGTGACATGGCAAGCTGGGTAGAAGCAGCAAGTGCAGGCATTTCCTGTCTCACACCTAAATTGCACACTAACTGTGCAGCTCCTCTGCTGGGGAAAAAACTTGGAGCACTGTAGCTTCTCCTGTCCTTGGAGCCAGGCAGGTGGCTAACTGCTGTCACTTGCTGAGGGGTGCTGTCACTTGCTGAGGGGTGATGAGGAATCCCAAATGCATTCCCCAGAGCTGTTTTCTGAAGCCCTTCTGTAAAAGAAGAGGGCTCTGTGCTTTACTGAGCACTTTGTGTATCAGCCTGAGAGATGGATTCTACTTTTACAAGATCTGCGCTTTAAATAAAAATGTCTGGTGTGGGTAACAGTTACAAAATCCTTGGATGGAATTTGTTCTGTAGTAGATGAAGCAAACCACTTTCTATATGCAGTGTTAGGCATCTTGCTCTGTTGTGGAATTTTGTCATACAAACACAAGAAGCAATACTGTATGTGCTCTGCAGAGTTACTAATGAGACATGGGAAGCAGGAAAACAAGCTGGGGTGCCCTAATGAGTCTGTTCTAGCCAAGGCCTCTAGGGATCTATGGCAGTATACCAAATAATCAAACTCTCTCTAAAGAACTTTGTTTCTCAAAGCAGCCAGCAGCACAACAGAGCAGCTGTGCAGTCACCACAGTGAAGAGACTAATGGCTGAACAATTATGCAGGTGGGTGCAATGGCACATTAGACAGGAGAACTGAGTGGGGAAACCCACACAACTTGCTCCTTTTGTATTTTTGTCTGCAGGACTAGGAGTCTGTGCTTGTCCACAGTATTAACATCTTCCTAAAATGAAATGAGGGAGGAGGATGTATTTCTGTGTCAACACGCTTGCAAAACAAAAAAATATTTTGAAACTGATGCAACAGTAGCAGAGAGACTTGTCTTCTACAAATAATGTATTTACCTTTTGAGTGGGCAAGTGAGGACATAGATATCTGAGAAGTAATTACATCCCTGCCCCAAAATCCTCATTTGCACTGGGACTTGAGGGCAATCAGCATCCCACCCAACTGCTGAGCAGCCTGTAATAATAAGCTCCAAATCAAGAGTGAATAGAAGCAGCTAGCCATTATAGTCTGATCCTGTACATCTATTTGAAAATAAAGGGGGAAAATATGTCTGGGGCCAAATGAAAGCAGGACCCCTTAGTCTATGGGGTTTTATGTATTTTGTCTATTATTAGAAGCTTTTATTTTGCTATTCTCAAACAATTCCAGTTGTTAATATCCTCTTCACATTTCTCTGCAGGCTGCTGAGAGTTATTAATTTCATGTAGCACTGTCCATTTATCCGATGTCATTTTACTGAGTTTCCTGTGGCTAATCACAGAGTAGAATTTGGAAAATTACTTTCTTTAAGGATGATTTACATTTGAGGTAAATAGACCAAAAATCAGAATCCCAGTTCAAAATGCATCTGTGCTTTTGGAGCATTCAGAGCTCTGGAGAATTGAATTTCATCTGGTTAATGTGCAGAAAGGAAAAGGGCAGTCAGGTCCCTGGTGATAATGTGAGACGTGAGGGTTCTGACAGGCAGAGATGAGTGGTTCATTAATTGCTGCTCTGTCCCTATGAGCTCCACTGGCTTCCTGGACTGAGCCAGATCTGAGTATAAGTGAGCTAACCGTCAGGTACAGCATGTCCCTCCTCACAGCTTGCTAATCCTCAGGGAAACAAGTGCATTTATTCCACTCACAGAAGAAGAGCCAGAGATCCATATTCTGTTAGGTCTGTTGTTACTGCTACATTGGTCAGTCACCATAAGGTCAAGATAGGGGTGGTTTAATATGTAGTTAGCCCTTTTCTGGGAACATCCTAAAGGCATCAAGGCATCCTGAGGCCTTAAAGTGTCCTACTGCCCTTAATCTGACACTAACTTTTCATGTTTTCTCATATAGCCCATCTTTGTGTTTTACTTTGTCTTTCCAACTCAAAATAGGGAAAATGAAGTCAGCACTATGCTCTTCTCTGACCATGTAGAGGCCTCCTTACAGCTAGGGACTAGCCATGTCCTTCAGACACAAGGAAGGAAAGTGTCCAGTTGTCCACCCAATCAACTCCAGATGAATATGTGCCTTTGCAGAACAAAGTGCATGGCAGTTTTATCTCATTCTGGCCAGTACCAGAGCATTTACACCGAGATGCATGACCAGACCTACTTTTGCAGTAATCTGTTTTGGGAATTAGAACAACAGCCAGGAACTGGGAAAGAAAACCCTGATAACTCAAATGCGTTACGTGTCTAATCATCTCAAGGACATGCCTCTGAAGACAGGTTTGCCTGTGTGACATAGGAAGACTTGAGCTGTTGGTACCAAGGCAAATGCCCTTTCATACAAGCACAAATGGTCTCCTTCTCTTTGGGAGGTCTTGGCACGTTGTGCCACCCATCCTATCTTTCCTATGTAGGTTACTAGTGAAGATATTTTTCAATTGTAGAAAATACTCAAAAAGCTTCCTGTGTTGGTAGAATACATATAAGAATTACCTCCCAAAGATCTGCTTAGTCTGCCTGCAAAAGCAAAAACAGCCCAGGTTTCTTAAGCGTGATATGTTAATGAGTCAAGTATCATCTGTAGAGTAGTGTCACCTCATTTTAATCATCAGCTTTGTGCCAGTAGATCTTACTATTGCCCAGATTTGAAAAGGCTGAGAACAGAAAAAAGTTACAGAATTACAGACCGTCTCACTACCCAGTCCTTTAGGCCTCATTCCTCCCCAAATTACCCTGATGTGAACCGGCATCCATCTCTTTAAACCTGTTGTCAC